TCCATTCTCATCTGAATACCTACTACCAGTTCCTGTTCAGGGCCCACAGATGCATCAGAATGCTCTTCTCTAGGGCTGGAGAGATTGCTCAGCAGTTAAGAGCACTGGCTGCTCTTACAGAAGACCTGGTCCTCAGTTCCCAGCACCTGCATGGCAATTAACAACCATCCCTAACTCCGACTCCCTCTTCTGGTCTCTGTGGCCATTGCATGTATGTGGTACACTTACATACATACATACAGGCAAAATACTCATACACATAAAATAAGTGAATATTAATTTAAAAGAAAATTCTGCTCTAAAGAAAACTGTAAGAAAATCAAGAAACCAAACTTCTAATCTAGATGTTGACAACTCAGACTCGCACCCTTTCATTCTTGTATTTGGGATGGTACAGGAGACAGACTTACTGAGAGATGTTGGACTGAGTGCTGTCAGCCTGCAAAGCTCAGAGTAAGTAAACAGGAAGCAATTGTCCTTAAAGCCAAATGGTAGGGCACGGCAACAGAAAAAATTCTAATTGTAATAAGCACAAAGAGGAGACACTACTCTCAAAAACACCAGAGTGCTATAAAAAGGAAGCACTCAAAACTCAACAAGGAAAAATTATCTTTGAATTAGAAAAAGCTCTATGAAGAACAGAAAACAAGACTTTGGATAAAGCTCTCAGAGCAAATTCATGAACTTATGAAATAAGAGAGTAAACTAAACATATGGAAAACAAGTCCATAAGTTCCAACAGTGATTAGCCAGAGTCTTAGTGAACACGGGGAAAATGAAGCAGTAAAAATGAATAGAGTATAAGAAATTTCTTCGAGTTTGGGAAAAAAGATATACATGTTTAATTAAGAGGGTTCATAAGTAGGGCGTGGTGACACATGCCTTTAATGCAAGCACTTGGGAGACAGAAGCAGATGGATCTTTGTGAGACTGAGGACAGCCTGGTCTACAGAGCAAGTTCCAGGCAAGCTGAGCTATAGGGAGACCCTGTCTCAAAACAACAACAATAAAAGGGTTCATAAAGTGGCTAGTGAAATGAATGAATCCTTTGGAGACATCCATCCATCCATGTATCCACTCAAACATCTGTCTGTTGACTCAACAAAGCATCATGCATTGCTTCAGCAGACAGGGATCCAAGTATTATGTAGATAGCTGTAGGAGCTTGTCTCAAGGAGCTCATTTTCGATCTAGAAGTCAAGAGCAAAGCAACTAACTAAACAAGACAGTTGCAGATATACTAACTGCTCTGGGGAACTGAGGAGGAGGAACATGACCCAAGTATCAGTGATGAGGTGGCATGGCTAAAAATCGAACAAAGGATCTGTTTGCTCTGTATCTCAGTTTTGCCAGCTCTAAAGTCAGGATAATAGCATCACCTACCTAGGAGTGTCATGAGGACTCATGTAAGGCGTGTAGAAGAATGCTTGGCACACAGAGGGGTCAGTGTAAGAGCTAATTATGCTTCATAGTCTTATTACTAGACCAGAAGTCCCCAAGCTCTAATGGTCAAGTAAGAACAAATGCTATCTGTTAGGTATAAAATAGGGAAAAGTCAAAACACATGTTCACACTGCTAATGTAGAAGTTGTGTAAGGACACACAAAAATGAATAAAAGTAGTTATCTAGTTTACTTTGGCTTGGACACATGAGAAGAAGAAGCAGACAGATGACTCAGGTGAAAACAGAACTTTTCATAATGTACTGGGTTTTCATAAATTTGATCGGGTGTTTTTGGTCTGGGGGTTATATGAGGGTACAAGTTCATGTGGGTACACATGTGCATGCATATACAGGCTAGAGGTTAACTTCAAGTACTCTTCCTCAGGAATCACCCATCTGTTTTTTGAGACAGAGTCTCTCACTGGCCTGGGAATCACCAATTAGGCTAGACTTGTTGGTGAGCAAACCATAGAAATATGCTTATCTCCACCTCCCTAGCACCGGGATTACCAACATGTACCACCATGCCCAGCATATTTACATGGGTTCTGGGGATCAAACTCAGTTCTTCATGCTTGAACAGCAAGCACATTACCAACTGAGCTATCTTCCCAGCCATTCAGAACAACACATTAAAAACTAACAGCTTTCATGAATCCAGCAGCATCTCCTCATCTTCTGTCATCAAAATGCCATGGAAGTCACTCTGTGAGGATTGAAAAGGACAGACACCAAGGCAACACCACGGCCTCTGTTGTCCAGGAACATGGGCTCAACAGAGTGCACAGGGCTGCTGGGACAGAGGGGAGGAGTCTGGCCCAGGTATGGGAACCCCAAGGGCTTTACACTTCAATCCTGCCGGCATAGGATGGCTCTTCCTGGATACTTACCCTGTTGTGTAAGGGATGTTTATACCTCCTAGGTTAATACTTTCACATCCAACAATAAAAAGGGTTGAAAAGCACAGCAGAGACACACCACTGCAGATCATTGCTAGTTTTGCAGATTCTCTGGCACCAAGCTTCAATTTTTTTATGATGTAGCCTCCCAGGACAATACCAACACCAGCACTGGGCACAATGATAACACCTGGAAAGAGGAGAAGGGGAGGGTTAACTTGTGTAATCCCTCACCGCAGCATTCTGGGTCGCACAGCAGATTCTGTTCTGGCCATAAAAAGTCTGGGAATACCTCCCTACCTCTTAGGTGGAAATCTTTTATCTACTCAGTTATCTAAAGGAACTGACATGTTAATCATCCTGCTTCTTCTCCCCCTCCAGCCTCAAAACAGAAGTTGAAGCTTTTACTGGGTTACAATATTGCTTGCCCTTATAAACTTAGAGCTATGAGCCTGGCGTGGTGGTGCACGCCTTTAATCCCAGCACTTGGGAGGCAGAGGCAGGTGGATGGATCTCGGTGAGTTCAAGGTCAGCCTGGTCTACATAGGAAGTTCCAGGCCAATAAATAAATAAATAAATAAATAAACAAACAAATGGAACTACTTAGGGCTACATCTTTATGAAAATGATAGTCACTTAATTTCCAAATGTTTAAGGTACTAGATGAACTTTTTCTCTTTACTCCATTTTTATCTATACATAGACATTACCTGTACTGTAAATAGATACATAAAATATATGTAAGGTGAAAGCATGCTTGGCAGTCCAGAACACCTTAAACTGAAGGGAAAGAGGAGACAATGAGGCAAGCATTCATCATCCAGAATGTCTCAGGCTTGGAAGAATGTCAATAGTTCCAGGGATTAAGAATGATGGGCTTTTACAGAACCCAAGGTTAGCCCCTGACATCATACTTGCCACTGCCTGTTGTGTTTGCTTTTCTGTCTTTTAGATTCCTACACACACACACACACACACACACACACACACACACACACACACAGAGGAACACACACAGGCACAGGCACACACACACACACACACAAACACACTGATGTTGACTATGTGTCAGGTATTATAACCACTCTTTCAATAGCAACTCATTTCACTCCCACTGGCTTTCAGTGGTCTGAATGAATGAGTTATAAACAGCAGAATCTCAGTCTTCTGTCTCAGTCTCATTAGAAGCAACCGCCCCCCCCCCCACACACACTCCCACCCATGACTCTTTCTTGTCTTTTTGAAACAAGGTCTCCCTGTAGCTCCAGCTGGCCTGGAACTCCCTGTGTAGGCCAGGCTAGCTGCAACCTCACAGAGATTTACCTGCCTCTGCCTCCTGAGTGCTGCAACTAAAGGTGGGCACCACCAAGCCCAGCACATTTTTTTCTGTTTTGATGGCTCAACTTCATGGAGGCATCCCACTGTCAGTGGTGTCTTAGGTTAGAAGAAATATAACATTGTCTCCATATCACGTTTATGGTGAGGTAGAGCAGGTAAATCAAGTCAGATTTATTTAACTTCTCTGAAGCCCGTGGTTTTTAAAAAAATATTTAATATTTTTTTAATGTGTATGCGTGTATGGCCTGCATGTAAGTAAGTACACCCATGTTGTGCAATGCCCGCGGAGGACAGAAGAGGCTGTCGAATCCCCTGGAACTGGAGTTACGGACAGTTGTTAGCTGCCATGTGGGTCCTGGGATTCAAACCCAGGTCTTCTGCGAGAACAGTCAGTGTTCTTGACCACTGAGCCATCTCTCCAGCCCCAAGCCTGTGTTTTTAACTTCATAATACAAAATAAAAATCTTTCTCTTGTCCAGGATAAATTATTTTTTGAGGCATCTACTTTCTCTTGCAAACATTTTCTTTTAGAGACTAAGTATCTATTACTATCAGAGAACAACTAGAGAGATTGTTTTAAAAATCCAGCCTTGCCGGGAGTGGTGGCACACGCCTTAATCCTAGCACTTGGTGGGGGGGCAGGGTCAGAGGCAGGCAGAGCTCTGTGAGTTCAAAGCCAGCCTCGTCTACATAGTGAGTTCTGGGGCTACAGTGAGACCCTGTCTCAAAAAGACAAAAAAAAAAAAAAATCCAGCCTCTATGCTAGCAAATACTAAATGGTCTGAGATTAGACAGCACAGTAAGTGCACATTCTCCCAAACTCTGTGTAAATCTACAAAGAATAGAAGCATAAGACACTGATACCTCTTTTATTTTCAAACATCTCATTCTTACTGTTGTGACATTTTTCAGGAACCCTTCAAAGGCAAAGAGCTGGGTATGACATTCGGATTAATTTATGGAACCTTTCCCTTAGAATTCTGTGGCTGTTTTAAGACACAGAACAAAATATTTCTTTCTATCTATCATATCCATGATCTGATTTCAAACCACATTAGACTTTGGAGTAGAAGAGGCTGTGTGTGTGTGTGTGTGTGTGTGTGTGTGTGTGTGTGTGTGTGACTGAACTGCCTCAACTGTCTCACACTTTCTCCTTCAACCGAAGCAGAGTGTTAGTACCTCACAGGCCTCAGCTTCCTGATGTGTGACAGCTACCACATAGCTCAGATGGGACAACTTGCAGCTAACTGACACAGAAAGCTCCTGAATTCTAGCATGACCTTGCTGGAATTATTAATAAAGACTCAAAACTCCCAGCCTCACTGCCTCCAGAAGGAAGATATTTATATAAAGCCCATACTTTACTCCTCATAGGCCCAATGAATCTCATTCACCCATAGCACTGAACTCTGCCAACACAAGCACTGTGTGACAGGAGAGAAATATGAGAGTCCCACTCTCAGGGATGCAAAGTCCTGGGGGCGCTGGAAGACAGGTAATAACAAGGAACATTCAGCAGGGAAAACAACCACGCTTTTCATTTCAAGTTTCTGACGGACTCAGCTGAAATAATACATGAGCACCAATGCCCTGCTGTCTCGTAAACAGGACTCCAAAAGTGAATCAAATTAATATTTCATCTTTTATGGCTTACAAACCTAAAAAGATTTTCTGCCTCCATGCAATAACACTACAGAGGGCAAAAGCAACTTGCGATGGTGAAATGCCTAAAGGGTGCTCCCTTCCATTCCCCCCAGGCTCTGAGAAACAGGAGCCAGAAAAGTTTGAAGCAAACGATCTCAGGGTTGGGGCAGGAAAGGCCTTTTGCAGAGGAAATTTCACAGGACAGTAACAGAATCTCATTAAGTTTTAAGTTATCAAAAATAAGCTGTAAGCGAAGACCTCCACATCAGGTTACCACACTTAGTACCCGTTCATGAAGGAAAAAGCTGCAGAGGCGGGCCTGTGCCTAAGCAGAGCCCTGTTTGGAGGCCCTTTGGGCAAGATCCATTTTCTGTCAGCGCTTTTCAGCTTCTCTGTTCATTGTTGTCCAAATTCCGCATCTCTTGGAGTTTTCCCATCAAGAAGACCAATCATCACTCAGCCCACTAATAGCTCAGCTATAAAACCTGACGAAGTCATCCTTCCCCTGGGAGAAGTAAGCTGATTTTTAAAACTCTATTCATTTAAGGAAAAAAAGTCTAGACAAACTTCTACACACCTAAGCTCTGCCCATCAAAGTGGCCTTTTCCCCTACAAAAACCAGGTGGAAATTGTGCTTTTTAAAACTGTATTACTTGAATTTGAGAGATGGCTCAGTGGTTAAGAGCACTGGTTGTTCTTGCGGGAAACCCTGGTTTGAATCCTAGCACCTAACAACTGTCCATAACTCTAGTTCCAAATCCAATGCCCTCTTCAGTCCTCCATGGGCATTGCATGACATGGGTGCACTTACATACATTTAGTCAATACGTGTATTCACATAAAATGGAAATAATAAATAAAATAAAAGCTGTATTACTTTACTGATTTTGCCAGGTACCAGGAATAACCACTTCATGCTACAGTCAAATCACTAACTGGATTGCATTTCACTTCATTTTCTTTTGTTTCTTTGAAGTGACAGCTTTGTTGAGCTGTAATCCACGTGCTATAGAGTTTGCCTACTTAACACACAGTTCAACATTTTGGATGGTGCTGGAACTTGAACATAAGGCCTCACACATGCTAGGCAACCACTTTACTGTTGCGCTCCATGGATATATCCCCAGTCCAAGAGAGAGACAGAGATGGAGACAGAGATGGGGTAGGGGGACTCACAGACATGTAGAGACATGCATCACCCCCAAAGAAACCAGATATTCATTAACTATCACGTCTATTTCCTCCCAACTTGCCCCTGCACCCTCTGATAATCACTAGCCTCCATTTTGTTGCCATAGGTTTGCCTATTTCATTTGAATGGAGTCATACAATACATGTGCCTGACTTTTCCCACTTTGCATACTTTTAAGGTTTATCCATGTTAGAGTGCGGCTTAGTTCTTCCCTATGGCCAAATAACACCTCATTGTATTCGCACATCACTACTGATTCATGTATCAGGCAACGCACTTTTTTTGGTTGTTTCTAGTTTGGGACTATTATAAATACTATCGTTATAAACAGTCAAGTGAAACTCTTACTGAATTTTTTGATTTATTTATTTTTTATTTTATGTGTATGTTTTGCTTGCATGTATGCAACTGTACTATGTGTATGCAATGCCCACAGAGGACAGGAAAGGGTGTTGGATCCCCTGGAACTGGAGTTACAGACAGTTGTTAGCTGCCATGTGGGTGCTGGGAGCCAAACTTGGGTCCTCTGGAAGAGCAGTCAGTGCTCTTAGCTGCTGAGCCATCTCTCCAGCCCTATAGAAGTTCTTTTTAATTAGCCCAGCGTTTTCATTTCTCACGGAAGAGTAGGTAAAGATGGAACTTCCAGACCATATGTTTAAGGAAGCATCAAAATGTTTTCCAAAGTGGCCATGTCATTGAGGTTCCCACCAACAGTGCACAAGGCTTCCATCCCTCCACATCTTTACCGACAACTGCTGTTGTAACCGACAATATTTGATTAGAACTGTCTGAGTGAAAGTGAAGTAATATCGAAACCCTCTGTGGTTTTAGTTTGCATCTCTCTGATAACTAATTAGGTCAGCTTTGGGGGGATTTGTGTGTGCTTGTTATTGTCCATTTGCATATTTTCTTTGGAGAAATGTCTATCTATTCAGATCTTTTGTCCATTTCTTAAAATTGTCTTGTTTCTCCTTTTTATAATTGAGCTAAATGTCTTTACATGTTCTAGATACAGC